TAGCAAAGACAACTTTTGCAGTTAATAACTTCTTCGGTAAGCCAAAAAAGCACATTCTCTGTCGCATAAAATGTCTTAGTTACTATAAAACACTACAATTAAACAGCAAAACTTATCGCATAAATGTTGTACTTGCTATATATTACTCGTCTACGAAGGATTGTTTATCAACTTTCAACCGCCATTTTCGTTGCGCAGCGCTTAGCGCAGTTCTGGCGCTTGTGATGCGGGCACAATGTATTTCCAAGTGGAGGAGTGGGCAGTTGCACGGGGCGGTTGCCAAACGCCATTTTCGTTGCGCAGCGCTAGCGCGGTTTTGCAACCGCGTGCAACCTGCCCACCCCTCCACTTGGAAATACATTGTCTTTGCTTACTCCTTGGAAATATGCCATAGTATGTTCTATAGCCTGCAGCGGAGCGGAGCGGCCTATAGTTCTAGAGCTATCGGAAAGTAAGCTTAAGCTAAATTTAACAAGCAATGATAATAATTCAGTAATACAAACCAGTTATAGCGTTATGAAGTGCAGTATCACAGACACGGGCAGTCGGACTGGCTGGTCGGGGTTCGATAAATAGCAACCCCCGTTCTGCGCCTAGCGTAGGTGTGTATAAGAGTATCATAACTCTCATATATACTTTATACACACTACAGTTACCGCAAGAACGGGGTGGCTATTTATTGAACCCCGACCAGCCAGTCGCGAGTGGCCTGTGGTGCAGTATCATGTATGATTCAGCTGTACATACTTGTGCATATATACATGGGATTTTGGCATAATAATGAGATTTATGCCAACTTGGGGGGTTTCTGTGTAAGCAATTTTATTCATTCTGGCTTGCACTGTTGCAGGCTAGTTTAGTGTTATCTGTGAAGTGAGCATTCACAGGATGTTTTGAGTACAGCTGCTGAAGTATCAAAACATTGTTTACTATGGAGAAGCACTGTATGAAGAAGCAGAACATCATAGAGCAGAGGTATGTTCTGACATCTGTATGTGCATGAACACCTCTAACAATTGCCAGTAGCTATAAAGTAAATGGACTATTTCAGCAAAGGGAAAGAATAAAAGCGAAATTATAACATTGAGTTAAAACAATTTGTGTATGCTCTGTCCAGAGTGCACTTGATACCTGAGTTTGACCTTATGTTTGCTGTTATATCTGTGAGGTAAATGGTTTGATATGATGTATCATATGGATGCGATAACAGAACTACACATTAAACATGGTATTGCATGTAAGCACGGACATATAAGTAGGATTTCTGATTTAAATTCAAACTAAAGCTGGTCTGCATTATTCTGATTCTGGTGTTTTGCATATTTAAGCCAACATTCAGGAAAGCTCTACAGCTTTACACAAGTTATTATGAAGAGCAAGACCAAGGCCAAGAAGCCTGTAAGTGTTATGGATAACAATTACTTTCATTGTGCCTTGACTCACAATATACAAAATCACGACATTTTATTGTTATCTCATGCAGTTACAAAATGATGTGAGGATTCCTTACTAAGCATACATGTCATTTTTGTATATGCTGTCTATTAGAACTCTTTTTCTTATTTATATAATACTCCTGGTTTGTAAAGTAGAAAACTGGCTGTGTGCTCTCCTTCTAAGTCTTTGCGTTGTGCTCTATCAATTCTAGGATGTCACATCAGAAGGTGGACGTAAAGTTCAGGACTTCACCAAAATGTCACGTGCACATGAAGCATTCCAACAGGCAATTGCGAGTCGTGAGTAGAGCAGATGGTACTGCTTACAATCTGCAGTTCCCTGATACAAGGTTTTCCTCATTGTGTATTCTGTTTTATGTTCATGAAGGATGGCAATGATTTCCTTTCCCGTGTGTGTTGTCAAAATTAGAACAAATGATAATTATAAAATAATTGAAGTCAAGTGCGTGTCGCTATGAGGTTTTGAAGACAATACTTAATCATAATAGTTTGAACACATGTCATGTGTTTCTAAGACATGTTAGCCATATCTTAGACTTTTGCTGCCTACACAGCAAGCGCACCAGTAAGTACTGTATTGGTCGGAAAAATATGAGAACCGTCAGGGAAAGACTGTTTGAAATCCTTGCTTTAAAGAGAATTACTCCTCTAGAATTTATAGAGCATTTTATGACAGTAGATTCATAAATAATAGCAGATACATACAAATATCTATTAATTACGCATTCACGTTTGTCATAAAACAACATTGAATTTCGAAATCTTCATTTTGGGCACGACATGACAACTTGTAGATTTATAGCCAGTAGCACTCCCTGGAAATTGCCATAGTATGTTCTATAGCCCTGCGGCGGAGCGGAGGGCTATAATTCTAGAGCTAACTTTCCGACATGTAAATATATGGCAAAATTAGATGCCAATGGGTCGCCCTCACCGTACATTATTACCACAATCCTAGTACAGCCTATTGGCAGTATTGCTGCCTAAGCTAACACTATTAGTATTAATTATATTCCCACCAATCAATCACAAATTGACATGCCCGAGTCCAATGAATTGAAACAGTGCAACCTAATTTACCAATGAAATAACACTCGAATGGAGCTCTTGATCATGAAGAAGTTTAATCTGTTCAAAAACATTCATGTTTGATATTCTTTTGTAAAACGATCTATAAACTGACAGCAAGCAAACGTAGATAAGGCACACAATGTCACAACAAACTACTCTTTTCGAAAGTTGCCTTTCATGTTTATGCGACAAGAGCGCCACCTCTAGCGAAAATTTCGTGAAATGCCTAGTAATTTATTTAATGAACACAAAAATATTCATAATAGCCTCCTAATAGCATAGACATACTATTAGGGGTGAATAATGACAAATTTGTCATTATTCACATTATTCATTATTTTTTGTCATTATTCACCACTGATACTATTTATACTATCTAATTGTATTTTGGATGGCAATCACTTGAATGATAACATTATTATGCTATTTCAACTTACTATAAGAAGTTACACGTACGTTTTAATTATTAAAACACAACATGAATTACAGCTAAAATAAATTACTTTATTTATAAACCAGCCTGCAAGAATACACACGTGTATAAAGAGATTTACGAACATTGAATTTGTGGTCCCTGTACCGGGGTACTAGACTCATTCTAACGTCTACCTGGCTGTGTAACTTTGTAACACATGAGACCGTGAAAGGGTGGTAATGAATGGACCAGTGACATTGAACAACTGATCAGTGAGCAAACCCGACTTATAAGTTGACTCACGATTGAAAACTGATGAAAAACAAGGTAAATGTAATGTAAAATCTGACATTCATTGCCATGGTAAAGACCAAAGTTCTATTTTGTAAAACATACACTGCCTCAAAAGATGATGTGCCAAAATTGATAAGGATACATTAGTCATTGGTTTCAGGCAAAAATATTAAAGAATCAACCGAATTTGTGTTTTCCATCTGCTGCCAAAATATAATTTCGACAAACAAATTTTTTCTGTCTAAAATACATACTCTGTCTAATATACAGGTTTTATACTGACCCTCAATCACACAATAAAAAGGAAACTTAATTGTCACGATGCATAAATAGCCATGATAGACAAATGTTCTTGTTTCCTCAGTGCCATGTTGTTATAAGATTCCCCACTGTTCTTCAAAGGCTGAACACACTTTGGCGCATGTGAGGGCTGCAGAGAGTGGGTATTGGCTTATCGATACATCTTCCTCTGTGTAGTCAACCTCAACCTGTCAATAACCAGTGAATAAAGGTTAGCTGGCCAAGTCATTCCAACCTTAAATGTTTTCCTGTTTACTGTAATTGTTTTTACTCACCCATAAATCATGACATTGCCACCAAGGATTATTTAACATTAACACACATGTGACATACGTGTACAGCCAAAATGGAAAATGTCTTTTATGTGTAGCAACCCTCCGCAGTATCCCATATATGTTAGCAGTTGTCCCAATATATAAATATTTATAGATATTAGTGGTGGTGGTGGGGGGAG